ATCACTATTAGATGAAATAAGGTGAAATTATTATTATAATGAGAAAAGTGTTCCTGCTCCCCACTGTTTCCTGTGGGGTTGACACAGATGGGGAGATAAATCCTTATACCTCTCCCTTCCCGTTGCAGAAACAAGCATGAGGGAGGGAGGGATCCCACACTGAGAATTTAGTTCAAGCTAAAGGTAAAACTATAATTGAAATGTACCCTCCTGGTCTTTGCACAGCTCATCAGGAGTGATTGTTTGGAATGACCCATTATCAGCTCCATTTCATACGTTTAAGTGTCATGAAAAAATGCATGACAGGAATAGGGAAAAGTGAGAACCGCTCCATAATATAAAACACAACCCCTATCAGAGTGAGGAAGATTCTTTATAGACTCCACATTGTAGGAAAATGTTTCTCATGTACTTATTCAGTCTTTAGGACTGAGAATTAGTATCTTTCTTGGTCCTGGGGACAGCATGTGCAAGTGCATGGGGAGGGGATATAGCCCAAGTTTATCCATGTTGGCTGCAAAGACCCCAAGAAGAATGTGGATGTGGATGTTTATGCCATACTGGTAGGTAAAGATGGAACGTGGCCTTGGGACTCAATCACTGACTTTGAACTGTTCTACAGAAGTGTAGAACAGGTTTGGGAAAAACATACCATTGTGCATAACTTTGGCTCTGTTTGCTGAGGTGGAGGGAGGAGGTTGGATCTCCAGTGAGACCGTCCCTAAAGATGGACACAGGGCCTTCCTAAGAGGAGTCTGAAGTCTGCTCTCTGAAGGAAGAGGGATTGGCTCTCTCTCTGAGATATGCACCCATGACCAGATCCCCGTAAGTGGTAGAGCTTAGGGGCATTCTTTGGCTGCTGAAAATGACCTATTTAGCATCTACACTTAGAGTTTTACTCCCAATGCTTGAACTCCTCTCTATAAAGTAAGCAGCTGTATCATGGACAATTCCTGAGCAGATATTGGGACAAGCCCCTTTTTCCACAAATACTCTACAAGAAGGTTTTCCTTGTTTACATTATTATGCATTATTATGATTCTAATTATCATCAAATTATCCCATAAATATTTATGGAATTGAATAAATGGAATAATTTATTTGGTCTACAAATATTTACCAAGAGCAGATTCTCAGCATACACAACACTTGCCCAAAAACATGTACATGTATCCCCACATCTGCACAACCCTGTATCATATCCCCACACCCATCCATAGAGAAGGATGTTCATACATACTCGTAATTACACACATGCATATTGGTATACATAAGCACCCCATCCACACAAATGGAATATAAATACAGGTGGACACACATACCCCCTACTGGAAGTTCAGAAATCTCCTACAGTGTTGACATCTAAGAGCACATCACTGGCCCTCGCATAAGTCTTTGATACCTTCATACTGGCCCTTCCTGGTTCTCTGCTCTGGCTGCAGGAATCCCAGCAAAGCAACAGTGCTCATTGTTCCTTTACTGAAAGACCTGGACCTTCATAGGAGATTCTGAGTCAAAACCTTTGACTCTGAATAGCCAGAAACCATCTTCCCGATACCTCAGTCTTATGCATAAGGCTAACTGCTAGGTTGGTTTCAGTTCCTGAGCTATCTCCATTATGCCTGTGCCTTCTGCTCTGTGTTCCACATTGCCAATTACTTGGCCAATAACTTTGGGGCCCAAAGGGGTGTTTTCTTGGAGGGTAATTAAGACACAGGAAAACCAAACTGGATGAAATTGCAAACAGAAAGATAAAGGCCAAGGCAGGTAAAACTCCTATGGAGAGTGAAAGACTTATATAAATAATCGATGAATAATAATATCAATTGTAATCGACATTATGGGATGGAGACAGAGGATTAAAATACTGAGCTAGTCCATCTGAAGATTCTGGTAAATGTTGAGAAAGAAATAAAGGGATTCTTTGCATTCAGAAACTGATTTGCCTCATCAAGGTAAGAAGAACTCCTGGAAAGTTCCAATGAGCCAACCCAGATACATAGAATGAGAGGTACTTAAAGATGGAACTAAATGCCCACAATGTTTTTTTGTAATTTTATTTTTCATTTTTTTCAGAGTGAATTATTTTTTCATTTACAGCAGAAAAATGAGAAATTTAATTGGTGTCCTTTTTTCTTCCTTTTCCAATTATGTTTGAGGTAAAGTTGGTTTACATCTTTGTATCTGCTCCATAGGTCATACGTTCAAACCTCTACAAATGTATATCTTCACACCCTGCCCACCACCAGTGCCCCTACAATTCTCCACCATGTTCCTTTGGTCTCCTTCCCTCCCCTACTCCTATTCCAAACCCTGGTTGCCTCAGTTTTGCAGTCAGATGTTGAGTTTATTATTGGTTTGGTTTTTAACTGGCACTGTCTTATGTTTCTTTATATTCCACATATAAGTGAGACCATTTTGTAGTTGTCTTTAGGCCAAGGAGAGAGAAGTGTATCAGAAACATGTGCTTGTGCACACCCACACACTCCATGAAATATGACTCAGATATAAAAAAGGATGAACTCCTGACATTGGCATCAACATGGATGGAACTGGAGAGGAAAAAGCTGAATGCAACAGTCAGAAAGAGAAAGACAAATACATGATGGTCTCTATACTGTTTTCCATAGTGGTTGTACCAATTTATATAGGTGGTTACAAGAGGGGAAAGGTATTAGAGAGTGAACAAAACAGGTAAACAGGTCAAGTGCACCATGATGGATGAAAAACACGTTGTGGTGGTGATCAGTGTTTACAAATATAGAATTACAATGTGGTACCCTGAAATTTATACAATGTTGTAAACCAATGTTACCTTGAAAAAAATTATTTTAAACATTTTTTAAATAAAAATGTAAATAAAAACACAAATTTAAAAAAATAAGCATTTAAAAGAAGTCGGAATATATGTGGGCTTCATGTTCTCACCTGTTCAGATGTTAAACATCTAGAAGACCAAATTGGGTATTTGTCTGAAATATTCTCATTTTCTTTGTGTTGGGGATTTGCACAGGCCCATGGGATGCTATGTACTGGGGAACTCAGTAAATGGCAAAGCAAAACAATCAACCAGAAAGAAAATGGAAAGGGCTTCTAAACGGGAAGAACAAATGACAAAATTAAGGCTTTCTCTTGTAACATGAAAAAAAGTGAATATATTACATTCCTGCCCTTTCTTGCTATTTGTTCGATTTGGGGAAATAGCAACATTTTACCTAAGACAATTTTTACAGGTGCAAGTTAATTGTTTCTGGCTCAGCTTCCTTATATTTGAGTTTTCACAATGACAAAAATCATTCCTCATTTCTCTGACACATCCTCCCTTTGTACAATGAAAATACGGCAATTCTACTGAGTTATAAATAAGATCAATGATGTTATAAATATGACAGTAATAGAAGAAATTACCTTAATTATCTTCAAAAGGTTTTTATTCATGACTATATAATTAGCAAATAGAATATATATCTAAATTTAAATATTTTTTTAAAGATTTATTTATTTATTTATATAAGCACTGAGTATAGTCAGAAGCATGGGAGGGCGAGAGAATTCACCAGAGTCAGAGCGGGAAACAGAACAGGCAGACTGACGAAGTACACTGCTGAGGGGAGCAGCGGGCGGCAGGAGAGGTCTGTGCACCATGTGGGACCCTCAGCCAGTGGCCGGGGATCGAACTGGTGCTGCAGAGGCTACGTACGGGCAGCTTCGCAACCCAGCGCTTAACCGCTGCGCCACCGGGGAGGCCCCTAAATTTAAATATTTTTAAGGAATAAAAATGAACATTTTTGTTTTAGTTACCAACATGGCTTAGCTTACCATTTTTTAATATCTTAAGAAAAATTTAAAGTGCTATTATCCATTATCAGAGAGAGCTAGGCCCCCCCCAAACTTGCTTCAGTTAATGTATCAACAATGTATGGATCAACTATCATTAATTTCAGAAAATGTTAGAAACAGTGTAAAGATTAATATAGGATTTTTCAAAGTAACAGAAAAATAAGCCAGGATTTATTCCCTGTACTCAAAATACTTTTATAGGGTATCGTGTCCTAAGACTAAGGGAAAAAATACTCCAGGAAAGTATTAGCTTACAGAATCAGATTTCATAGAATGTTCAAATGGAATAATTCCTGAAAACCCCCTAGCATCTGAAAAACAGGAAGTCACTGGTCTCTTCTCCATAAGACATTTCAAAGGAATGAAGAGAATAAGGTCTATATTAGAGAGATTTAGGAATAGGAGGCAAAGAAGTAAAAGTAGCTAAGGGCAAATAAAGACAACAATTTTTTTTTTGTAGTTTTCTTAACAATTTATTATTTTCTTTTAATTTTTCAAAATTTTCTTTAATGGTGTATCTTTATCATCAGAAATAAATATTTTAAAATGTAAATAAAGTCACAAGTCTAACAACAAAATTGTTTCTGTTGATGGTATCAGTTAGCAAAGTTTCAGTTACAGTCTAGTAACAAACAAACCAATGTAACACGTTGCCACTTGTCTAGCAGAGCATGGATCAGTAAGAGAATCTATTCATAGTACTCAGGTACTCTAACCCTCTGAGCCTCAATCTCAACACATGCTTCCCCTTTCTTCATGGAAGGACAAAGAAGATGGAGTCAAAAAAAAAAAAAGCAATTCAAAGCTTCAACCCAAGAAAAGAAGCTGTTCCTCCCATATCAGGATAAGTGTGTTCTAATTCCGTGTGCCCGTGTTAGCATAATTACCCCACTGAGTCTTCATTGCATATGTGTATATCTGCATGAGTATCCAACACTCAATTATGTCTCCATCAGGGTAAGAAGACTAATCTTGAACTTGATAGCATTCCATTGCCTGTCCAACAGTACATGTCTAGATTCATTTCAATGCAAAGTTCTTGGTGTTTGATTCCCCTTTAAGGAATCTCACTAGATTAGGAGCCCAGCAACAGAACTGACAGCTGGCACTGCATATAATCAGCAGACATCACAGAATTTGGAATGCCAGAGAGAATTGCCTTCACATAATCAACGGACTGAGTCAAGGCCTTCATGGCAAAAACTGTGACAGTTGCATAATTGGCACCCCATCTCAGCTTCAAACCCACCACTCCCCCAGCCCTAGTCCCAGCTCCCCAGAGTCTGGGTTTATTGTCCTGGAGGGAAGTCTTTGAATCAGAGAATGTCACTTCCAGTAGGGATCTTAAGCTACCTCTTATCCTTTGTTCTCAAAATTTGTTTTTGAGGAATTTAGAGCTAAATAGAGATGACCTGCCACTAAAATCAAGTAAGGTAAGCCCAAGGGAGATTCTACTACATGTCAAGCAATAAATTAGATGTGCTACACACATTATCACATTCTATTCTATAAACGAACCCATGAGATCTTTTCCTGGCCCTCATGGAAAATCAAAAGCTATTAAATAGAATTTCTCAATGATCACATTTCCTTGCACAGATTTTCACAGACATCTAGCCCCTTCTATTGCTTGTCTACTGGCAGGAAAAAAAATAAAAAAGCATCACACATGATATCCAGAGTCTTTACTCAGCCTGGCAGGATCTCCTTTTACTGTGTATGAGGTAAGTAGACCAAGATTATTTTTATCTTGCTCATATATGATTTCTTAAAAATATTTTATGTAGTATTCTGACGTGAGGTTCAGAAAGATAAATAGACATGGGATATTGTCTACTAGAAAAATCTTTCCTTTTGGCCTATAGGAATTACAATAGTGTTGTTGCGTTTGAGAAAAAAGCACTCAAGCTTCCTGTTGTTTTACTCTTGAACAAATTTGAGAACACTACTGTGCTCCAGGCCCCCATGTTTAGATGAGGAAAGTGATACTTAGAGAGGAAAGAGACTCCTCAGTGACCTGGGAATTTAGTGTCAGAGACAAGATCAGAACTCAGTGAATTCATTCTCTCAAATCCAGCTCTTCACTCCTACCCATGCCAGAGGCTCAGGACTGGTTTCCTTTGTTATTTTTTAAGCACTAAAAATCCATTGAAACTTGAATTATGAAGACACCAGGAGATAAGGTGCTGAAATGAAACAATGCCTTTCAAATTACACTCTTAGGTTCATAAGGAAAAACAGTGTCAAGTGACCGGAAATTTCCATTAGTGCCTAGACGGAATATGCCCAGGATTCCTTCCTGTGTGGGTTTTGTTGTTGTTGTGGCTGCTGTTGTTGTTGCTTATATATGTGGATCGAGCTTAAGAATCATTGTCACCAACAGGTAGAGTGGAGAACACACCCAACTGACACCCATTACCTAAGGATAAAGAGCTGGGATCAGGGGCGAGGAGCAAGTGTCATGAGCTACTTCATGACAATGGTTGATCTTCAACACTTTCCTCATTTATCTCAGCCACTTAGACCAGGGCACTTGGCCACCCAGAATTCATCACTCTGTGAACATGTCCATGAATATAAACATCTAAAGGGAAATAGAAATGATTTCACACAATCCCAGAACCAAATCTGGCTGTACTTTCTATTCGTGTAAACTTGGCAAATTTTTGGAACTCTGACTTTCACTTCTTTACAATTTGGAGATCATGAGATCTGAGTTGACACAGGGAAGACTCTGGCACATGGCAATCACTTAGTAACACTAATCTCCTACTTCCCACCTCCACTCCAGAGCGCTCATGTCCAATCTGAGTTCCTCGTCCACCTCTCCTGCACGTCTACTGTTTCTTTGGAAAAGTCCCACTCTCTGAAAACAGCATTTTTCTTCCACCAAGGATATATTGGGCCCACGCAGAATCCTCCCTTTATGCTAATTCCCGTCTGCCTTCAAGCCAATGGTGCAATGCACAATACAACAGACATTGAAAGCTGACCCAGCAAATCTCAAGAGCTCTCTCCCGGTGCAAAAGCTCCAGCAAAAAAAAAAAAAAAAAAAAAAAAAAAAGTGTCTGTTAGAAAACCCTTTATTTTTCAAAACCCACAAAGCTCACCTTCTGAAGCCAGCTGGAAAAGCTGATGAAAAATCAATAGCATTTGATTGTAAACCTGTCAAAATGATAGTGATGGTACTACATTAATGGTGGCTCCTGGGTATTGATTCCTCCCCCTTCCTTTCTCCATCATCGCACATCACCTTCATACTAATAACAGATTCTTTTTTCTAAATTAATCTCTGGATGAGGGAAATCAATAGTATTTACCGTGTGTAAATTTTCCTCCCCTCTGGAGCCAGCCGGCCCCTTTGCTTTCCCTTAACCAGCAGCACCATCTCAGCAAACGCTGAAAGAAGGGGCTTCTGATGACCCAAGTTTGTGCTGATTCTCCTCGGGCCAAGGCTGTACCAACCCAAGCAAAAACAAGTAGGAAGAAAGAAAAGCCATCTTCAAATCATGGAAACTGTGAAAATATCTCGTGTTCTGAGTTCCAACTTTGAGATGTGGTCTGAAAATTGGGAATCATTTTGTCCCAGTGACTGCATCTCCTTATTTGAATAGTCTGTATTTTCAGTTGTTTTTGGTGGTTTGGTTTTTTTGTTTTAAATGGTGTAAATAAAATAAATAAAAAGTGAGTTTTTTTTAAGTATCAAAAGAAGTGACATAAACTTAAAGCATTTGAAAAACACTCATCTACTTCAACTCCCTTAACCTAAAGTGCAGAAGCTAAGCCCAGTGAAAAGTCAGTCCTGAAGTTCACATGGAGGGTAAGTGACAATTATTTCACAATAATAACAGTACTGGTATAATAACAGCTGTAATTTATTGAGCATTTACTTCTAGGAACCATCTAGATAGGTTCTTCACATAATTATTTCTAATGCTCAGAGCAGGTCCACATGGAAGCTACTGTGATTCCAATGGAAAGTTGAGGAAGTAAGGCTCAGAAATGTTAATTAATTAATCCAAGATCACACAGCAATGATCACAGAGTCTAGGATTTAAAGTCTATGCTGCTTGCTCCAGGTCTCCTTTCATCTGTGAAGAACCATGCTGACTTTGCAAACACTCACAGGAACCCTGGAGAGCCCCTTACTAGGAAACAAGACATGTCTCCATGAGAGGAAAGAAATACCACATGATATCAATATTTAGTTTCTCCTGTGAATAAGGAATTTTGGGAGGTAAAAGTGGTAGGAAAATCTCTAGGAAAGATCATAGCACCTGGGACAGGAAGAGAAAAGGGGGGTACTATTTCAAAGAGAAGTGCCTGACCCAATCTACACAAATAGGAGCAAGGAAGCATGATGAACATAATGGGGATTGTGAGAAAATGCTGGAACCATCAGGCTCATGTAACAGAAGCAGAGGAAATGAGACTGGAAGGAGAGGCTGGATGGCATTGGGAAGAAGGACAAAGATCCACCTAGAATTTATAATGCTGGGGGGGAAGAGTATAAAGGTGCAAAGGGGGGAGGCAAGGAGAAGAGAGAAGCAGGAAATTTCCCTCAGAGGTTATTTCATAACCTCATCATCACCCTACGTGGACATGGACAACATCACCAATATGTTGTGAAAGCAAACTTGGGTGCTATTAGGAATCAGTAGGAAATGGAGGACAAAGAAAAGGCAAGAGTTGCAGACATTTCACCCTGAGGCTCAGGAGATGAAGATTATTGTAGCATCATTAGCAAATTAATAGCCATGTGACGAGACCCCTAACTTGTACAGTGGTTTCTATTGACAAGCTTATTTCATATACAACTCTTGGTTCTGAGAAATGACTAAATTAGATGTTCTTCTCATCATTCTATCAATAAGATGAGCACTCAGGAGCCCAAATAATGTAAGTGACTTGCCCAAGGCTATTTGACCTTGGAGGTGAAGTCTTTTAGAAAGTTCAGGTGATGGACACAGAGAAGTCTCAAATACAAGGTGACCGCAAATGGCCAACATCCAGTGCTGGAGATGCAACTAGAGGGACCTTGGGCTCCATTTTTCCACCCTGGACTTTTTTCTTCCCTCCCACTGTGCTCACACCACCTGGCAAAATCCTAGCTGTGACTCAAAGACCCCAGTGTGCTACCACCTGGGGGTGTCCTTCCCCAGTGCCCTTTGTTAGAGCAGTCCCATGCAAGGTCTTCAGCCCCCTGAGTTCTCACCTTATCACCCTTCCTTAGCCGCTCTTTTTAAAATAATAACACCGCTGCCACTCTACCAGCTTTCTTTTTCTCCACAGAACATATCTTTTTCTTACATATGATGTATTATATTTATTTGTTATCTGACACGCAATTCTAGAATATCCCATGACTGAAAGCAGATTTTGTGGTTTTATTGTTTACCTCTCTATCCCCAGCACGTAGAAGAGATTCTTATCCACAGTAGGATCTCAGAAAGCAGTTTTGTCGAATGACTGAATGGGTAATTACTACAGCAATGTTAGATTTTTGTGTGATTTTATTTTTTAGCATTTGTGCAACAGCGTGGTGACCAGAAGGGCCCATTTGGGGGATCACAATGTCACTACCTGGCACATACTGACCTGTCAGGGACTATTCCCTGCAACTCACTAGCGTAATCTCTTCAGCTCCTCATTCCCCTGATCCACAGGCCACCTGGTGGAGGGGGGAAGCAGAACTGATAGAAAGGGGGGCCTATGATTTCCTCACACACTTGCTGGCCTCGAAGAGGTCCTAACCTGAGCATCTGACCTCCCCCAAACTTGCAGACTATGTCAGCAAAATGAGGATAATGTGGCTTTCTTGTAGGTTTAAGAATTAAATCGTTTGGTATAAAGAGAGAAATGATATTTTAAAATTACTGAAACCTATGGGCCCTGCACATTAAATTAAACAAACCCACAAAATACATTTTAAGCCAAAATTCTTAATGACATAATTGCTCTACATGCAGAGGAACTTAGTCTGGAATTTGGAGTTCAGTCTGAAGTTGATACTCTGCATTCCTGCAGCAAATGAAATTCTATGAGAGTGCATTTCACCAGGACTCTTCTAAATTAGGCCTTCGTGGGGTTGGAAGAGCTAAGAATTTCTAGGAGAGCGGAGTTATGGGCCATATGCACACATCAGCATAAAAGGCTCATTAAAAAGTCAAATATGTAGATTTGATAATCACTGGTCTCCTGAATTATCAAATTAGCCATGCTATTTGGAAGAAAGGCTGTTTGGACCTCCTGCAGAAAGCTTGCTGCCATCAAACGTTTACCAGAGAATGAACTATTCTGTTAGGTTCCTGGACATCTTGGAAGGACAAAGGCAGGCGTCCCCCACCCCCATGTCCAGATAATTCAAGGAAACTCTTTTGGACTGAACATAACTGGAATCAAATCTCCTGCTGCATTATAGTTTTGTGCTTCTGTGTTTTATGCATCTATTTCCTCCAATAAATTATAAGTTCTGTAAGAAAAGGATCTGTGTTTTCCATCTTTGTGAATGTTGCCCCTAATTGTCATTGATGTGTCCCACATGGCGCACAGACCTCTCCTGCCGCCCGCTGCTCCCCTCAGCAGTGTACTTTGTCTGTCTGCCTGTTCTGCTCCCCGCTCTGGCTCTGGTGAATTCTCTCACCCTCCCGTGCTTCTGACTGTACCCAGTGCTTGTATAAATAAATGAATGAATGAATGAATGAATGAATAAATAAATAAATAAATAAATAAATAAATAAATAAATAAATGAAAGCAGAAGGTTGATGAGGAGGCAGGAGTAAAGCAAGGAGGAAGGGAGACAGAGAAGGTGGATTCTACTTAAAAATTTTAATTTAGCCATCTTGGAAAGAATAATTCCATGAGATTCATCTGAGACTTCTCATCGTTGGGAACTTCAACATGCATTTTGGAAATTCTGTGACAAACTGAAATAAATTCCCTTCCATTTCTACCTCTGCTGAGATTGAAATCATAGTCTAACGGTTAGGAGGCATATTTTAAGTGAGGAGCCTTCCTTGATACTCCAGGAGTTTTCCTTCCCTCATTTGAACAAGACATCAATAACACCGAAGCGTCTGTCCCTGTAGTGTCTTTACAATTTAGCACTCGTAAAAATGGGACTTTCCAGTTCATTAATTTGCTTACGCAACAGAGCCCAGAACCAGTTAATCCCATAAAGTGACTGCTCTACTTTCATCTTGTAATGACTTGCTTCATGCCTGGACTTTCAGCCTATACTAGATAGAAATTCCTCATTTCCCACCTGGCTTCCTCATGAGAATCTGCAGGAAAAAAACAAAAAGCAAAAACCTAAAGCAGCATGATGGGGCCTGGACATTTATTTTCCTAAAAACGACAGAAGGCATCGTTATTCAACCTGAAGGCAGCCAGGCCAACGTGGTTATCGATCCACAGGGGTGGTGGACGAGTTCCTGGGGCCTCCATCAGGTTGGGCCCTCGCTCCCCTTCCTCAAGAGCCCCTGGAGGCACTTTGTAAAGTACTCTTTTATGAAGGCTGCATGTCTAACAGCTATTGCGGCAAGAAAAATCCACTGTGGTTAAGTATGTTTAGTACTCTCATCCTTTAAAATGCAGAGATGGGCCCTCCCCGGTGGTGCAGCGGTTTAGCGCTGGTCTGTGAAACTGCCCGCAGCCTCTGCAACACCGGTTCGATCCCCAGCCACCGGGAGAGGGTCCCACATGGCTTGACAGACCTCTTCTGTCTGGCCCGCTGCTCCCCTCAGCAGTGTACCTCGGTCCTTCTGCCTGTTCTGTTCCCCGCTCTGGCTCTGGTGAATTCTCTCACCCTCCCACGCTTCTGATTGTACCCAGTGCTTGTACAAATAAATAAATAAATTTTAAAAAATAAAATAAAATGCAGAGATGCACAAAGCAGAGAATTTATTGACAAAAATAATTATTAAAAGCTTGCTTAGGCCACTCTAAGCCTTCATCTCCACTTGCCCTCTTTCCTGCAGCATGAAGTCCAAAGTCCTTCCTCCTTTGCATGAGATTCATGGCCCTCGTGAGTCCACCCCCAAGCCAGTCTGTCCCCTTCTCCTTCACCTCATCAGGCTCCTGGGAGAACATTGTCCCCATCTCTGATGACCATCTTCCATTCCCAAAGCCCAGCCTTCCACTGGGGTTATGTGTCCATCCTTTGATTTTGACCTTTCAACCATTAGTTAAAAATCTTCCAAGGTCCTGGGACAATAAATAAAATCATCTTCTAATTTGCCTCTCTCCACAAAGCTCTGCATTTCTCTTCAACACACACTTTTACTTCCTAAACTAATCATTCATTAACTAGAACTTAAAACTGTTTTCCAACTTCAGTCTGATAATTAAATAGTGAAGTGAACTGAATGCACTCGCAGTCAGCTTGTTGTGATTAAATTCCTGTAAACGGAACTCTACCTGACTCTACAAGGTCTTCAGCCCCTGAGTAATCCAATCAGATTACTGGTGACTGGGAACTAGCAGTTCCTCCAGCTTCCAAAACCCTGACCTCTTAGGAGTAGCCAGTGGATATATAGATAGAAATGTTTTCAGAATTTAAGAAAAACTTTTAAATCAAAAGATCATAATAAAATATATTTTGGAGGTGCATTTCATTTCTTAAAAAAGTAACATTGCATTATAGCATCATATAAATTTCAGATGTCAAACATTAAAAATTAA